ATATTTTGATTTAAACGTTTTGAATCAATTTTTGCTTTAAGTAAAAATTCTAAAAATGCAATAACCATTGCTATTCCAAGACCAATAATTAAAACATAAAACATGCCAGCAACATTAGCTAAATTAAGTGGTGTACTTTGTTTTGAATCTTTTGTACCAATATTTGTACATTCACTTCTTTCATAATACCATCTTTGTTTTAAACTTTCAAGAGCTCCACTTTCTGTTAATTCTAAAACGGCTATATTTATAACTTCACGTAAATCAGAACCAAGTGGTGTTGCTATTCCATAACCTTTAGCATCAATATTTTCACCAATACGCATTGTATCACATGGATTACGTTCATTAACATATTCATTTAATGTTGATTCAAGTAGAAATGCAAATTTACCTTTTGATCGTCGAACTTTTTCAATACCTTCACGATTTGATTGAACAAAAACATCATCTTTATTTTGTTGCATAAAATCCCACATACGTTTAAATGTTGTTAATGTTGATTTATTAAAAAAAGCCATTGTTGAACCACCTATTAATGTTCCATATCGAATATCTGTTTGTTTAGCAAGTTCTTCAACAGAATCAATTGGCGGTACTAATCTTTCAACTGTTAAAAAAGCTGCTAAATTAGCTGTATATGATGAAACAAGTATTAAACTAAAAAACCACCAAGCACTAGTTACTACTCGACCTAAATAAAAGAAAAGTCATTTATAACAAAAAACTGTTATCATAATTCCTGCAGGATTACAAATGTGAAACACGATGTAATGTTCATTTCAGCGTTAAATGAATGTAGGCATTTTTTGAATAGTTTTAAAATAAAAAGAGAGAGAGAACTCGGATTTTTAACACTATCCAGACTTGACATTGTTCTGTCTTTTTACAAAGTTGATGAAAAATTCTAGGGCTCTTTTCTTCTGAGATCTGTCCTTCTTAGTTTTGAAGATGATCTTAATCGTCTTTGAAAATAATATACTTTTTCAACTATAATATAATGAGCAGATAGCTTAGCTTCTTCTCTATTGATTCACGCAAGACCGAGCTTACTAACTGTTTGTGTTCTAAAGTTGTGAAGACTGTACTGAAGGGTGCACATCAAATTTCTTCAAAATCTGAAGAGTTAACAAATATTTTCTTCTAAAAGTTTTTAGCCACCTTCGAATTTGTTTTTCTACTAAAAATGTACATTGAATTTCTTTTGATAATAACGAATCAATATTTTGAGTTAGTTCTATTCAAACTTTATTTTATTGATGTTTTCATTAGAATGATTTTCTGAATTCAAAATCGATTAATCGAAAAGAATTTTAAGATATTTACGAAATTCATCATAAAAGTCATTAATCATCAGCATCATCTGTAGTATAGATGCTATAATCATCATCATGATCATTTAGTTCTTCAATATAGGACTTTTTAAATATTGCCTCATATTGTTAGACATAATTAGTGTAATTGGTTGTTTCTATCGCATCTAAGCCATAAATCTATTCTTGTGCTAATTTGCTCATTGCAGTCAAAGTAAACTTCGTGTTTCTATCATATATATATGTCTTCATATTGGCCTAGGCTAACTGTATAAGATTCAAAGTACAATACCTCATGGATAAACTTTAAAAAAAAACTTATTAGCATCGGATAGAGATGAATAGATCGAATTTTGCTGTAAGATATCAACACGATACATTTTTACTTCTTCATCTACTTTATATTTTTCATGTGGTA